ACCCTTCTCTCTCCCAACTCTCTCTTGGAGCCTCCTGTGTGTGTGTGTGTGTGAATTGCAAATTAGGGTTTTAATAAACTCTCTGCAAAGACTCTCTCTTTCTCTCTCTGTTCCTCTCCCTCCCTCAATATATGTACACATATGTTGAAAAATTAGGGTTATCAATCGAGGCCGTGATTGCAAGCTCTCAATCTTTCTATTTGTTTGAACTTTCAATGCCTGGGAATCTATTCACCACATTGTTCGTTGAAAACCCTAGCCAGTTCCGAACCACTTGCTTTCTCTACAGAGGGGCAGGTGATTTCGATACCGTTGGATCGAAAGAATCTTTGAATTCTTTCTCTATCTTTCATTTCCCAAGAGCGCAGGAAAATTATCTGATTGAGAGCTCTTGAATTTCTTGTTTTTTGTTTTTTCTTAATGGCACCGAGTCGCAGAAAAGGTGCCAGCAAAGCCGCCGCCGCCGCCGCTGCTTGCCGGCAGTGGAAGATAGGCGATCTCGTCCTCGCCAAGATCAAGGGATTTCCGGCGTGGCCCGCAATGGTAAGCAAATGGTTTCTTATATCAAAAGATTTGACGAGCAGCTNGGGGGTGTGTGGGAGAGAGAGAGAGATGGGAACTAAGATTAAAATTAAGGGTTTTATGAATTATTGTCCAAACATGTTTTATAATTTTTTGTTATTTAAAACTATTTTTAAAAATATATCACTAAACAAGTTTTACAATTTAAAATTTTTTAAAAATACTTTCTTAAAACTTTTCTTAAAAAATATTTTCGAATATTATTTTTTGATATGCAATTCAAACACATTCATAGTTTGTGACTTTATTATAAGGAATGCATTATTTTAGTTGGAAAAACAAAACTCCAAATTTGTAATGGTTTTGATATTTTTATTTGGGATCATTTCTTAAATTAGTAGTGACAAATGGGAAAGTTAAGCGGGCTACACGGTAAGTCAAGAAGGGTTGGACNCTGTCCATTTATATGACCATAAATCTGGATGGTTTCTTTTTGATTAAATAAAATAATCTATTTAGTATTACAATTTAGAAGTTAAATTCTTAATTTATAAAAATATAATAATAGTTAAAATTAATTTAATATTAAGACAACTCAATTAACACTCTCTTTAATATTAGACAATCNCTGTCCATTTATATGACCATAAATCTGGATGGTTTCTTTTTGATTAAATAAAATAATATATTTAATATTACAATTTAGAAGTTAAATTCTTAATTTATAAAAATATAATAATAGTTAAAATTAATTTAATATTAGACAATGNATGATGTAAATTTATATTCATAAGACGAGAATTTTTGGTTGGATTGATTTTTTTTTTTATTTAGCATCTTTTATACGTACGAAACGCTATAGAACAATTGCATACATCCTAATAATGAATAGAAATTACCTTGTCACNCCACTAATCTACACCTACCTCTCTCTTATCTTTCTCTTACCTATCTTATTTTCTCTTTATTTACTTAAATTTTAAATTATATAATTAAATAAAAAATAAATTGATATTTAATATATAAATATTACACAATTAATACCTAATTTTTAGTATTACACAAAGTATCTTCAGGCACGAAAGTATTGCTAATAAGACTGTAATAATAGTGATTTTTATATTATTAAAGATGGTATCAATAATAAATATTACAAGTGGAAGCAATTTTAAACTCATTTAAAGAAATTGATTCTCAAATTGGTACACTTAAATTTTTTATTAACTTATCCCATTACATAAAATTCTAAATGGAAATGTGATAATTACTATCGAACAAATCAAAGTCCCATTATCATGGATAGATTCGGTGTAAGATCCATCATCTTTAGCACACATTCATTTCATTTCGTTCCGTTCAAAAATTATCATCAATTGTTATTTCATAAGTAATTTTTTTTTTTAATAGTTACGAGTGTCTGAATCAATTTACACACACTTTAATTAATCTCTTTATAAGTTCAGTCAAAAACAAGTAATCCACGTTGGGACTAAAATATATACGAGGGATAAATTTTTCATAGCCTACCCACTAGGAGTTGTCGAACTGACGACCTCTAAGTTTAAAGCTTGTTTATGATACCATTTGAACTATCTTCGAGATTAAATATTAAATTTTATCTCAAAACATGTTGAAGCATTGGCCACCTACATGAAATTACACCAAGGTGCCAATATGAATGGGATTCTTAAATTATGTACTTAAAAAAATAACTTATTTAGTTCAGACAAGACAATCATTGAAGACAAAGAATGGGATTTTATTATGGATCAGGCAATCTGTACTTAAGTGGTTGGTAATGTGGAATTTGTAATGACCTTTAAAATCCTTCCATTTGTCACATACTCCCTCTAACAGGAAATACCTGCAATTTAAGCACCGAAGATTAAAAAAAAGAAGAAGGAGAAGGAGGTTCATAATTTGTATTTTACATAATTTTTTTATTATTAAGGTGAAAATTGGTAAATGATTAATCCAACATGGCAACCACTTGTCCACACAAACTGTGCAGCTGATATTAAAAACACCAAAAAGAAATTAGATTTTAGAGTGTGTTAATGCTGTTTAGATTATGTTTCAAAAACAGTTTTATTTTTCTTAAAAATAATTTGTGGTTAGGGATGTCGTTTGGTTAGAATTTTCAAAAATAATTTTTCAAAAAAAGTGAGAATTGAGAACAACAAAGGCCCCAAGTTTTTTTCTTTCGTCCGCCTCTCTCTCTCTCTCTCTCAGCATATATATATATGTGTGTGTGGGGGGGGGGGTGTGTGGGAGAGAGAGAGAGATGGGAACTAAGATTAAAATTAAGGGTTTTATGAATTATTGTCCAAACATGTTTTATAATTTTTTGTTATTTAAAACTATTTTTAAAAATATATCACTAAACAAGTTTTACAATTTAAAAATTTTTAAAAATACTTTCTTAAAACTTTTCTTAAAAAATATTTTCGAATATTATTTTTTGATATGCAATTCAAACACGTTCATAGTTTGTGACTTTATTATAAGGAATGCATTATTTTAGTTGGAAAAAAAAAACTCCAAATTTGTAATGGTTTCGATATTTCTATTTGGGATCATTTCTTAAATTAGTAGTGACAAATGGGAAAGTTAAGCGGGCTACACGTAAGTCAAATAGGGTTGGACGTAGTTTAATGTAGTATAATGTCGATGCACTTTTCAATTAGGCCTTTATGATGTAAATTTATATTCATAAGACGAGAATTTTTGGTTGGATTGATTTTTTTTTTATTTAGCATCTTTTATACGTACGAAACGCTATAGAACAATTGCATACATCCTAATAATGAATAGAAGTTACCTTGTCACTTATGTAACATAAATCTAATATTTGTAACGAAAATTATAACCAAAAAATTGCAGCGACAACACATTGCTCAACATTAATTAGTTGAATTTTAAAATTGTGAGTTCGAATCTCATTGTCTATGTATTAGTGTTTGGCTAAAAGAATCTATCTATCTATATATATATATAACAAACAAATCAGAGGGTAGAAAGTATGGAAAGTTTTCCGTCCACATGTCTTAATTTCCTAGAGTTTTAACTTTTTTTAATTACTAAACCGATGTTTTTGTCAATCACTATTCAACACTTAACACCTATAATCAATCTTTCACTCTCTCACCAACTAATNCTATTCAACACTTAACACCTACAATCAATCTTTCACTCTCTCACCAACTAATCATCTTTTGTTTGAATTTTCTTTAAAAAATTAGTTTTTATCCTGTATAAATTTCCATGAATTTTGAAATTTTCTATTAATTAATAAAGGTAAATATAAAAATACAGGGTGAAGGATTAGGAAGGAGAAATGAAAAAAAAGAAGAGTGTGTTGAATGGGTCGTGTTGGGTTGGTGATGTCTGCGTAAGTGTCCTTAGATGGGCCCTAATACAGATATATGCAAACCTTAGTACAAAAATCTGGGATGGGCTATTCATGGCAAAGCCCGTATATGAATCAAATAAGCTGAATTATATTGCTACGGGGGCCCATAGTCATACATTGGGTTTAAAAAGGGCCGTTACGAATTTGACGCCGTTAATTTTTAATAACGGGAATTTAGGATGGATAATGTTACACCGACTAAAAAAAAGGAACGAAAATTTGAATTAAATTATGTGATATTATCATAATGAGAATAATTTTAAATTTTAAATGTGTATAAATAGAATCAACAATATCATTATTGTTATATCTAATCCATTTATTATTTATATTAATAAATCGTGTTATATATAATATTTTTTTTATTTATAAAAGAGATGGATGATGAGGTTGGAACGTTAAGGTCGAAAATTAAATATACTCATGTCAATAAACTAGATCAAGCGGTAAGCAGTAATGTCACGTGCTATGTTCGCTATATCCAAGTAGGGAGATCTAGATTCGAATAATCCGCACGGAGCGTACGCTAGTCAATTAACTTTAGACTATAAAACACCCTCGGCGCACTGTAGCGCTTGCCTGTGAAAATAAATTCATATCTGTTTTTTTCCCACATTGTAAATGGGGCGTCTTCCACATACCTCTCACCCTTCTCTCTCCCAACTCTCTCTTGGAGCCTCCTGTGTGTGTGTGTGTGTGAATTGCAAATTAGGGTTTTAATAAACTCTCTGCAAAGACTCTCTCTTTCTCTCTCTGTTCCTCTCCCTCCCTCAATATATGTACACATATGTTGAAAAATTAGGGTTATCAATCGAGGCCGTGATTGCAAGCTCTCAATCTTTCTATTTGTTTGAACTTTCAATGCCTGGGAATCTATTCACCACATTGTTCGTTGAAAACCCTAGCCAGTTCCGAACCACTTGCTTTCTCTACAGAGGGGCAGGTGATTTCGATACCGTTGGATCGAAAGAATCTTTGAATTCTTTCTCTATCTTTCATTTCCCAAGAGCGCAGGAAAATTATCTGATTGAGAGCTCTTGAATTTCTTGTTTTTTGTTTTTTCTTAATGGCACCGAGTCGCAGAAAAGGTGCCAGCAAAGCAGCCGCCGCCGCCGCTGCTTGCCGGCAGTGGAAGATAGGCGATCTCGTCCTCGCCAAGATCAAGGGATTTCCGGCGTGGCCCGCAATGGTAAGCAAATGGTTTCTTATATCAAAAGATTTGACGAGCAGCTTAATAACGTGCCTTATTGCCGGTTTTGAGTCGCATGGTATTTCTTTTTTTTTTTTGGAATGCGAAGACGTACGATATAATTTTAGGGTTTTTGAATTTGCTGTTGCTGATGAATCTGAGACAAAGATAGAATTATTTTTTACTTGCATGTGGTTGTTAGTGTTAGTTTCTTGGAATTTGTTGCGTTAGAAGAGTAAATTTGGGGCTTGTGGGCTCACATTCTTGTGTACGCATATCCATCTTTTGGTTCACGTAATAATGAGTTACAGATTTGCAAAAATAACAAGTAGCAAGTAATTGTGGTTCCTTCTTTTTGTTCTGAGGAAGAAGTATGGAGCTAGAAAAATAATGCGTAGTGTTATTTTGGTTGCTGATGGCAGGTGAGTGAGCCGGAGAAGTGGGGTTACTCAGCTGATTGGAAGAAAGTATTTGTCTACTTCTTTGGCACCCAACAAATGTGAGTATTCTGAAATCCTTGGGCCACATCCATTAGCTTTTTTGTTTGTCAGATATTCCTCATGTGTTATGCTACACAGTGGTTTCCTGTTAATGAAGTGATACATCGGTGAATTTCTCTTCTTTTCATCGTGAAACCACTTGACTTCAGCGTTTAGTCTTGGCATGTAAATTTTTAATCTTAGTATGTTTGTAATGGGGGTCGAGATTCGTTTTTCAACCCCCTTCTCATTCGATTGGATTGTTCTTGTCTTTTAGTCTTCCAAATATGTTATTTATTGCATTGTTTATGGTATTTTCATGTCACAATAATCTCAACTAAGGTTTTACAAATTTGATGTAACAGAAACTAAGGAGTGAGGACTCCTCCCATCCCTTACGATCCATTTCTATGGCACTAATTTCAGATGCGATATGTTGGTATAAAAAGGGCTCATATGTTGATGAAACTTCTTTTACTCTTGAAACCCTCTCCAAGGAATTCTATTGTTTCAGTTATTGGGTTGACAAGTTGATCCATGATGGAAGCAAATTGTCATTGCATACTTGAAATGACATATACACCATTGAAAGTCTGAACTTTGTTCAACTGACTGTATTACATGACTTATTTGTTTAAGTTGACTGGTGACAGATGCTACAATAGTCATTATGTATTAACTGCATTTATGCTTGAATCTGTATGCTATTGAGACTTTTTTACTCCGAACCTGTCTGAGGAATTTTATCTGACGTATGTATGTACTGTATTACCTAGTTTAGTCCTCATTATTGGGTCTAGAAAGATTGGTCAGTTTAGTGCAAAGTGTTCCAAGGCACGCACCTTGGCTCGAGGTATACCTGAAGCATCTCAATGGGTATGAGGCAAGGCATCTTCACCGAGATGCAGTCGAAGTGCAAGATGCACATGCCTCAGGCTGAAGCCCAAGGTCCATGAAGTGTGGGTTTTTTTAGCTTTTCTTTCGTTTAAGTGATATATTTTGTGCTATTACTCTATTGACTTTAATTGGAATGTTTGAAATGCAAAAGATTAGATTAGAGCTCTAAGTATGGATATCGAATTATAATCTTAAACTCAAGTTGTGAATTTCACAGATTTGCTCTAATCTAACTGTAGGTATAAATATCTTTTTTGGGCTTTGATTTTTTGTTTTTTCGCTTTCATCTTCATCATCCTCTCTCGGTTTCTTGCATCTGTCTTTGCATCTCATTTTGATAATTTGATCTCAATTTCTATCCCCTTCTTCTTTCTTTTGTTTTTGTGAAACTGGCTCTTGATTCACTGAAATCAATCTCTATTTTCCTAAGAATAAACCTCTTTCTTGATTCAATTGGATCTTGAATTAGCCTTGGGAGCCAAATTTGTTGGGCGATGTAATTTATAGCGTTTACATAATCTCTAGAATATGCACCTCACTTCCATGAAGTTTGTGCTCACCTTGCGTCTTGCGCCGATTTCCATAAAGAACTTGGCAGCTCGGTGTGCCTTTCGCCTTAAACAACCCAGGAGTAGGTTGGGTACAAGCCTAACCTTTGGTATTATTTGCCCCATGCAGCTGTCTAGGGTTCAAGGTCATAATCTGAAGGTAATTGGGTTGAATTTTGTCAAATGAACCAGTGACCCTGTTCTCTTCTGCTTATCTGATAGCAAAAATAGAAAATAAGAAAGGAAAAGCAAATAAAGAAGAATGTACTCCATCGGGGGTTGCCTACATAGCTGCTCCAGACTCGCAGCTCTTTTGAATTGATTTATCTTTTTCCGCAGAGTCAAGACCAACACAATATTATCTAAACTCTCAAATGCTAATTTTTGAAAGAAGATTCATTTAGATGCCACATTTAATTTCTTAAGAAGCAGTTTTAGTATGGTTGACTAAGAATATGGTAATAATTAATATATTATGTTGCATAGATCTGTTGGCAGACATTCTGTTCCGACTTTGGTGATACGGAAAAGGTCCTGTTGATTAGAAGAGACATCGAAAGATACAAACGACTATCTATGGTTAATGTGATGAGGAACAATATGGAATTGGACGAAGCTTGGTAGTTTTATTAGGTATATTTTCAGTATTGTTGTTGGATTATTTAGTTAGGAAATAATTATTTGACTGGGAGTGTTTTAGTACTTCTAGCGGTGAGAGACTGTGAGAGTTTTATCAGCAAGGTAATTTAAGTTTCACTAGGTAATATATATTGATGTAGCCCTATTTTTCATGAAGAGGGTGATTCTAAGAAGGATTTTGGTTGATTATTTGTGCGTTTCTTGACCTAATCTTTGCGAGAGCGATGTGTATGCCTTCTTCTCTATTCTTTTTATATATTCAGTTTATATTCTGCTTCTTGTTCTACACCACATGTTCAATGGAAAAGCAGTCTGTCAAATATTACGTGTATTAGCGTAGTCTTATGTTCCTGTATTATGATTAATCTGGATTTATGTTCTGATTAAAAGAATGTGCACCTTAAGTTACCATCCATTATTGCCATTAAAAGGCCCTGTTTTAATTGGTAGGTAAAAAGAAGGGGGTTCTCATGCCTAGTTTGACAAATGTAACAGCGGCTAGAATCTCTATGTGGTTGGTGAGCTGGTGGCTATGAAACTGCTTTCTTGAGGCTTTTCTTTCCGTCACCTTTTATGAATGTTGGCAGTCTTCATAGGATTGGGGCTGCATGTGCCGCAATCTGGGTACTGTGATTGAAGTTATATTTAGGACATGACAGTTTTTGTGGTATGTTTGTGGGTTTAGTTCTTTTAGGTTGCAATAGCAAGCAGAAGAGTCTCTTGAAACGTAGATTTTATGGTAGAATGTGTCTCATATTGTGCCAAAAATAAGTTTTGAATCCTGAAAGACTCCTTTATGTTTTTTTGTCTGTGGGTGTCTGTTTGACTGCAAGCTTCTGATTTTTTTTAAAAGCTTCCACGTTAATGGGCACTGGTTAGCCAGGATACCTGTGTGTGTGCATATGAGTATTTTTTTTAATCCCTTTACTGGGGCATACTTTGCCTTACAGAGCCTTCTGCAATCCTGCTGATGTTGAAACATTTACGGAGGAGATAAAAGAATCTCTTTTGACCAAACGTCATGGAAAAGGTGCTGATTTTGTTCGTGCAGTACGTGAGATTGTTGACAGGTGTGAGAAGAAGAAAAAACAAGAACAAGTTAGCAATGATAATTCAAGTGATGTAATCTCTGTGCCAAATGCAAGTAAGTCAGCAGAATCATTGATGGATTCTAGGTTGAAGGATGAAGCTTCTGCATTGATGGTGAACTCTTGTCCCAAAATTCCATACTCTACTAGAGCTAAAAATAATCCTAGTTCAACTGAAAGTGCTGCTGCTACAAGACGAAAGGCTGCTCTGCGTGATGCGGAGATGCCTTCAGAGGATCCTACCGGTAATTTTGGGGCTACAGAAACACCTCTGCCAACAACTTATTCATTGTCAAGAAAACTTGAATTTTTGCAACCGAAGAGCATTGTCACACAGAAAAGGGCACCATCTGCTCNAGAGGATCCTACCGGTAATTTTGGGGCTACAGAAACACCTCTGCCAACAACTTATTCTTTGTCAAGAAAACTTGAATTTTTGCAACCGAAGAGCATTGTCACACAGAAAAGGGCACCATCTGCTAGAAGGTCCAGAAGTTCAGCAGAGGTGGACCCATCTAGATCCCAGAACTCTTTGTTGCCATCTAGCCATGGTGGTAGTTGTGCTGGGGATACAGCTGCAACTTTATTGCGGGATGGATATGTGAGAAAGAACAAACTCATCAGGAAACCTTCAAATGTGGCTGAAGGGCATGATTCAGAGTCAGCTGCTTTTGTTTCAAATGGTAGCATCGAAGAGAATGGTTCTGAAATTGCATCAGTTGACTCTGACACTCTTAGTTTCAATGAAGGCAGCACATTGGAGTCTGCTTGTGAACTTCTGCAACCTGAGTATGTTGTTGAATGTCGTGAGGGAGATGTTGAGTTTAACCAAAGTCTTGACTTCGCTGTTGTGGTTAAGAAGAAAAGAAAGCCAAATAGAAAACGAGCAAGTAATGACACCAGTGAGCTTAATGCTAGACTAGATAGGGAAGCAGCTATAGAGAATAAGGTGTATAAAACTGAACAAATTTCGCCACGTGATCTTGATGAATTGAATTCTAGGCATTCCAAGGAGGAAGGTGATGAACACCTGCCATTAGTTAAACGAGCCAGGGTTCGCATGGGTAGACCATCATCTGCAGGAGAGGAATTGGATACCTTAGTACGAGCAGAGGAGAAATCTTCGGAAGTTCCAAATTGCATTTCAGACCAGGGATGCACGCCCTTGATTTGTGAGGAAGATAGCCCTGTTAAAAATTCATCTTCTGTGAAGAGAGATGCAGTTGGTTCATCACCATCAAACAAAGGTCCTGTTAATAAGCCTCAAGCCTGGGAATTGAAGAAACATCAACTGTTTAGTTGTTCAGTGGATGGTGAAGCTGCTTTACCTCCATCTAAACGCCTTCATCGTGCCCTAGAAGCAATGTCAGCTAATGCTGCTGAAGATCTTCAAACATCATCTGAAGCACCAACGACCATGAAGACAATTAATAATGGGTGTAGTTTCTCTTCCTTGGGGGACTGCACTAATATATCCATGGAAGGCAAAGCAGAGACTGAATTTGGCTCCAGTGCTTCTCAGGATGCCAGCGGCACCATGAGATGTCAGTGGAATGATCGGGCAGATACAGACTCAAAATCTTTTACAGAAGTGGCAGCTTGCAANCAACGACCATGAAGACAATTAATAATGGGTGTAGTTTCTCTTCCTTGGGGGACTGCACTAATATATCCGTGGAAGGCAAAGCAGAGACTGAATTTGGCTCCAGTGCTTCTCAGGATGCCAGTGGCACCATGAGATGTCAGTGGAATGATCGGGCAGATACAGACTCAAAATCTTTTACAGAAGTGGCAGCTTGCACCANTTTTTTTTTTTTGGAATGCGAAGACGTACGATATAATTTTAGGGTTTTTGAATTTGCTGTTGCTGATGAATCTGAGACAAAGATAGAATTATTTTTTACTTGCATGTGGTTGTTAGTGTTAGTTTCTTGGAATTTGTTGCGTTAGAAGAGTAAATTTGGGGCTTGTGGGCTCACATTCTTGTGTACGCATATCCATCTTTTGGTTCACGTAATAATGAGTTACAGATTTGCAAAAATAACAAGTAGCAAGTAATTGTGGTTCCTTCTTTTTGTTCTGAGGAAGAAGTATGGAGCTAGAAAAATAATGCGTAGTGTTATTTTGGTTGCTGATGGCAGGTGAGTGAGCCGGAGAAGTGGGGTTACTCAGCTGATTGGAAGAAAGTATTTGTCTACTTCTTTGGCACCCAACAAATGTGAGTATTCTGAAATCCTTGGGCCACATCCATTAGCTTTTTTGTTTGTCAGATATTCCTCATGTGTTATGCTACACAGTGGTTTCCTGTTAATGAAGTGATACATCGGTGAATTTCTCTTCTTTTCATCGTGAAACCACTTGACTTCAGCGTTTAGTCTTGGCATGTAAATTTTTAATCTTAGTATGTTTGTAATGGGGGTCGAGATTCGTTTTTCAACCCCCTTCTCATTCGATTGGATTGTTCTTGTCTTTTAGTCTTCCAAATATGTTATTTATTGCATTGTTTATGGTATTTTCATGTCACAATAATCTCAACTAAGGTTTTACAAATTTGATGTAACAGAAACTAAGGAGTGAGGACTCCTCCCATCCCTTACGATCCATTTCTATGGCACTAATTTCAGATGCGATATGTTGGTATAAAAAGGGCTCATATGTTGATGAAACTTCTTTTACTCTTGAAACCCTCTCCAAGGAATTCTATTGTTTCAGTTATTGGGTTGACAAGTTGATCCATGATGGAAGCAAATTGTCATTGCATACTTGAAATGACATATACACCATTGAAAGTCTGAACTTTGTTCAACTGACTGTATTACATGACTTATTTGTTTAAGTTGACTGGTGACAGATGCTACAATAGTCATTATGTATTAACTGCATTTATGCTTGAATCTGTATGCTATTGAGACTTTTTTACTCCGAACCTGTCTGAGGAATTTTATCTGACGTATGTATGTACTGTATTACCTAGTTTAGTCCTCATTATTGGGTCTAGAAAGATTGGTCAGTTTAGTGCAAAGTGTTCCAAGGCACGCACCTTGGCTCGAGGTATACCTGAAGCATCTCAATGGGTATGAGGCAAGGCATCTTCACCGAGATGCAGTCGAAGTGCAAGATGCACATGCCTCAGGCTGAAGCCCAAGGTCCATGAAGTGTGGGTTTTTTTAGCTTTTCTTTCGTTTAAGTGATATATTTTGTGCTATTACTCTATTGACTTTAATTGGAATGTTTGAAATGCAAAAGATTAGATTAGAGCTCTAAGTATGGATATCGAATTATAATCTTAAACTCAAGTTGTGAATTTCACAGATTTGCTCTAATCTAACTGTAGGTATAAATATCTTTTTTGGGCTTTGATTTTTTGTTTTTTCGCTTTCATCTTCATCATCCTCTCTCGGTTTCTTGCATCTGTCTTTGCATCTCATTTTGATAATTTGATCTCAATTTCTATCCCCTTCTTCTTTCTTTTGTTTTTGTGAAACTGGCTCTTGATTCACTGAAATCAATCTCTATTTTCCTAAGAATAAACCTCTTTCTTGATTCAATTGGATCTTGAATTAGCCTTGGGAGCCAAATTTGTTGGGCGATGTAATTTATAGCGTTTACATAATCTCTAGAATATGCACCTCACTTCCATGAAGTTTGTGCTCACCTTGCGTCTTGCGCCGATTTCCATAAAGAACTTGGCAGCTCGGTGTGCCTTTCGCCTTAAACAACCCAGGAGTAGGTTGGGTACAAGCCTAACCTTTGGTATTATTTGCCCCATGCAGCTGTCTAGGGTTCAAGGTCATAATCTGAAGGTAATTGGGTTGAATTTTGTCAAATGAACCAGTGACCCTGTTCTCTTCTGCTTATCTGATAGCAAAAATAGAAAATAAGAAAGGAAAAGCAAATAAAGAAGAATGTACTCCATCGGGGGTTGCCTACATAGCTGCTCCAGACTCGCAGCTCTTTTGAATTGATTTATCTTTTTCCGCAGAGTCAAGACCAACACAATATTATCTAAACTCTCAAATGCTAATTTTTGAAAGAAGATTCATTTAGATGCCACATTTAATTTCTTAAGAAGCAGTTTTAGTATGGTTGACTAAGAATATGGTAATAATTAATATATTATGTTGCATAGATCTGTTGGCAGACATTCTGTTCCGACTTTGGTGATACGGAAAAGGTCCTGTTGATTAGAAGAGACATCGAAAGATACAAACGACTATCTATGGTTAATGTGATGAGGAACAATATGGAATTGGACGAAGCTTGGTAGTTTTATTAGGTATATTTTCAGTATTGTTGTTGGATTATTTAGTTAGGAAATAATTATTTGACTGGGAGTGTTTTAGTACTTCTAGCGGTGAGAGACTGTGAGAGTTTTATCAGCAAGGTAATTTAAGTTTCACTAGGTAATATATATTGATGTAGCCCTATTTTTCATGAAGAGGGTGATTCTAAGAAGGATTTTGGTTGATTATTTGTGCGTTTCTTGACCTAATCTTTGCGAGAGCGATGTGTATGCCTTCTTCTCTATTCTTTTTATATATTCAGTTTATATTCTGCTTCTTGTTCTACACCACATGTTCAATGGAAAAGCAGTCTGTCAAATATTACGTGTATTAGCGTAGTCTTATGTTCCTGTATTATGATTAATCTGGATTTATGTTCTGATTAAAAGAATGTGCACCTTAAGTTACCATCCATTATTGCCATTAAAAGGCCCTGTTTTAATTGGTAGGTAAAAAGAAGGGGGTTCTCATGCCTAGTTTGACAAATGTAACAGCGGCTAGAATCTCTATGTGGTTGGTGAGCTGGTGGCTATGAAACTGCTTTCTTGAGGCTTTTCTTTCCGTCACCTTTTATGAATGTTGGCAGTCTTCATAGGATTGGGGCTGCATGTGCCGCAATCTGGGTACTGTGATTGAAGTTATATTTAGGACATGACAGTTTTTGTGGTATGTTTGTGGGTTTAGTTCTTTTAGGTTGCAATAGCAAGCAGAAGAGTCTCTTGAAACGTAGATTTTATGGTAGAATGTGTCTCATATTGTGCCAAAAATAAGTTTTGAATCCTGAAAGACTCCTTTATGTTTTTTTGTCTGTGGGTGTCTGTTTGACTGCAAGCTTCTGATTTTTTTTAAAAGCTTCCACGTTAATGGGCACTGGTTAGCCAGGATACCTGTGTGTGTGCATATGAGTATTTTTTTTAATCCCTTTACTGGGGCATACTTTGCCTTACAGAGCCTTCTGCAATCCTGCTGATGTTGAAACATTTACGGAGGAGATAAAAGAATCTCTTTTGACCAAACGTCATGGAAAAGGTGCTGATTTTGTTCGTGCAGTACGTGAGATTGTTGACAGGTGTGAGAAGAAGAAAAAACAAGAACAAGTTAGCAATGATAATTCAAGTGATGTAATCTCTGTGCCAAATGCAAGTAAGTCAGCAGAATCATTGATGGATTCTAGGTTGAAGGATGAAGCTTCTGCATTGATGGTGAACTCTTGTCCCAAAATTCCATACTCTACTAGAGCTAAAAATAATCCTAGTTCAACTGAAAGTGCTGCTGCTACAAGACGAAAGGCTGCTCTGCGTGATGCGGAGATGCCTTCAGAGGATCCTACCGGTAATTTTGGGGCTACAGAAACACCTCTGCCAACAACTTATTCTTTGTCAAGAAAACTTGAATTTTTGCAACCGAAGAGCATTGTCACACAGAAAAGGGCACCATCTGCTAGAAGGTCCAGAAGTTCAGCAGAGGTGGACCCATCTAGATCCCAGAACTCTTTGTTGCCATCTAGCCATGGTGGTAGTTGTGCTGGGGATACAGCTGCAACTGTATTGCGGGATGGATATGTGAGAAAGAACAAACTCATCAGGAAACCTTCAAATGTGGCTGAAGGGCATGATTCAGAGTCAGCTGCTTTTGTTTCAAATGGTAGCATCGAAGAGAATGGTTCTGAAATTGCATCAGTTGACTCTGACACTCTTAGTTTCAATGAAGGCAGCACATTGGAGTCTGCTTGTGAACTTCTGCAACCTGAGTATGTTGTTGAATGTCGTGAGGGAGATGTTGAGTTTAACCAAAGTCTTGACTTCGCTGTTGTGGTTAAGAAGAAAAGAAAGCCAAATAGAAAACGAGCAAGTAATGACACCAGTGAGCTTAATGCTAGACTAGATAGGGAAGCAGCTATAGAGAATAAGGTGTATAAAACTGAACAAATTTCGCCACGTGATCTTGATGAATTGAATTCTAGGCATTCCAAGGAGGAAGGTGATGAACACCTGCCATTAGTTAAACGAGCCAGGGTTCGCATGGGTAGACCATCATCTGCAGGAGAGGAATTGGATACCTTAGTACGAGCAGAGGAGAAATCTTCGGAAGTTCCAAATTGCATTTCAGACCAGGGATGCACGCCCTTGATTTGTGAGGAAGATAGCCCTGTTAAAAATTCATCTTCTGTGAAGAGAGATGCAGTTGGTTCATCACCATCAAACAAAGGTCCTGTTAATAAGCCTCAAGCCTGGGAATTGAAGAAACATCAACTGTTTAGTTGTTCAGTGGATGGTGAAGCTGCTTTACCTCCATCTAAACGCCTTCATCGTGCCCTAGAAGCAATGTCAGCTAATGCTGCTGAAGATCTTCAAACATCATCTGAAGCACCAACGACCATGAAGACAATTAATAATGGGTGTAGTTTCTCTTCCTTGGGGGACTGCACTAATATATCCATGGAAGGCAAAGCAGAGACTGAATTTGGCTCCAGTGCTTCTCAGGATGCCAGCGGCACCATGAGATGTCAGTGGAATGATCGGGCAGATACAGACTCAAAATCTTTTACAGAAGTGGCAGCTTGCAACACACCCTTCAGTGGTAATAATGGTTCAAAGCATGTGTCTGTGGACTCTGCTGAGGGTAAAGATCTTAGTGTGTCATCTTTAGGTACTCGCACTGCTGAAATTGTTGTGGTCCAAAGTCCAAAAGTGTTGTCACCTATTCTTGGTGGAAAACAGGCTTGTCTTGAATGCGATCACGGTTCAGTGCTTTCAAATGATGACTGCAAAACTCAAAATTCTGAGTTGAGCAAGCCTTGTAAAGAATTTGATCCTCTAGAACTTTCCAGGAAGAGTTCAAATCCTGTTGCAGGAGACATCAGAATCCTGATTGCCTCACCACCGAATGATACCAATCTGCTTCTGCACNAAAGAATTTGATCCTCTAGAACTTTCCAGGAAGAGTTCAAATCCTGTTGCAGGAGACGTCAGAATCCTGATTGCCTCACCACCGAATGATACCAATCTGCTTCTGCATACTGCAGAGGGTGAATGTTGTGAAACTACCAAGTTGTGGAATCCTCCATCGGATAAGAACATCCAAGATAATGAAAAGTAAGCTCATTTGCATACTTTATTATACCATCTCTGACATGGGAGTCCATAGATTTAGTGTCTNATATGTTGGTATAAAAAGGGCTCATATGTTGATGAAACTTCTTTTACTCTTGAAACCCTCTCCAAGGAATTCTATTGTTTCAGTTATTGGGTTGACAAGTTGATCCATGATGGAAGCAAATTGTCATTACATACTTGAAATGACATATACACCATTGAAAGTCTGAACTTTGTTCAACTGACTGTATTACATGACTTATTTGTTTAAGTTGACTGGTGACAGATGCTACAATAGTCATTATGTATTAACTGCATTTATGCTTGAATCTGTATGCTATTGAGACTTTTTTACTCCGAACCTGTCTGAGGAATTTTATCTGACGTATGTATGTACTGTATTACCTAGTTTAGTCCTCATTATTGGGTCTAGAAAGATTGGTCAGTTTAGTGCAAAGTGTTCCAAGGCACGCACCTTGGCTCGAGGTATACCTGAAGCATCTCAATGGGTATGAGGCAAGGCATCTTCACCGAGATGCAGTCGAAGTGCAAGATGCACATGCCTCAGGCTGAAGCCCAAGGTCCATGAAGTGTGGGTTTTTTTAGCTTTTCTTTCGTTTAAGTGATATATTTTGTGCTATTACTCTATTGACTTTAATTGGAATGTTTGAAATGCAAAAGATTAGATTAGAGCTCTAAGTATGGATATCGAATTATAATCTTAAACTCAAGTTGTGAATTTCACAGATTTGCTCTAATCTAACTGTAGGTATAAATATCTTTTTTGGGCTTTGATTTTTTGTTTTTTCGCTTTCATCTTCATCATCCTCTCTCGGTTTCTTGCATCTGTCTTTGCATCTCATTTTGATAATTTGATCTCAATTTCTATCCCCTTCTTCTTTCTTTTGTTTTTGTGAAACTGGCTCTTGATTCACTGAAATCAATCTCTATTTTCCTAAGAATAAACCTCTTTCTTGATTCAATTGGATCTTGAATTAGCCTTGGGAGCCAAATTTGTTGGGCGATGTAATTTATAGCGTTTACATAATCTCTAGAATATGCACCTCACTTCCATGAAGTTTGTGCTCACCTTGCGTCTTGCGCCGATTTCCATAAAGAACTTGGCAGCTCGGTGTGCCTTTCGCCTTAAACAACCCAGGAGTAGGTTGGGTACAAGCCTAACCTTTGGTATTATTTGCCCCATGCAGCTGTCTAGGGTTCAAGGTCATAATCTGAAGGTAATTGGGTTGAATTTTGTCAAATGAACCAGTGACCCTGTTCTCTTCTGCTTATCTGATAGCAAAAATAGAAAATAAGAAAGGAAAAGCAAATAAAGAAGAATGTACTCCATCGGGGGTTGCCTACATAGCTGCTCCAGACTCGCAGCTCTTTTGAATTGATTTATCTTTTTCCGCAGAGTCAAGACCAACACAATATTATCTAAACTCTGAAATGCTAATTTTTGAAAGAAGATTCATTTAGATGCCACATTTAATTTCTTAAGAAGCAGTTTTAGTATGGTTGACTAAGAATATGGTAATAATTAATATATTATGTTGCATAGATCTGTTGGCAGACATTCTGTTCCGACTTTGGTGATACGGAAAAGGTCCTGTTGATTAGAAGAGACATCGAAAGATACAAACGACTATCTATGGTTAATGTGATGAGGAACAATATGGAATTGGACGAAGCTTGGTAGTTTTATTAGGTATATTTTCAGTATTGTTGTTGGATTATTTAGTTAGGAAATAATTATTTGACTGGGAGTGTTTTAGTACTTCTAGCGGTGAGAGACTGTGAGAGTTTTATCGGCAAGGTAATTTAAGTTTCACTAGGTAATATATATTGATGTAGCCCTATTTTTCATGAAGAGGGTGATTCTAAGAAGGATTTTGGTTGATTATTTGTGCGTTTCTTGACCTAATCTTTGCGAGAGCGATGTGTATGCCTTCTTCTCTATTCTTTTTATATATTCAGTTTATATTCTGCTTCTTGTTCTACACCACATGTTCAATGGAAAAGCAGTCTGTCAAATATTACGTGTATTAGCGTAGTCTTATGTTCCTGTATTATGATTAATCTGGATTTATGTTCTGATTAAAAGAATGTGCACCTTAAGTTACCATCCATTATTGCCATTAAAAGGCCCTGTTTTAATTGGTAGGTAAAAAGAAGGGGGTTCTCATGCCTAGTTTGACAAATGTAACAGCGGCTAGAATCTCTATGTGGTTGGTGAGCTGGTGGCTATGAAACTGCTTTCTTAAGGCTTTTCTTTCCGTCACCTTTTATGAATGTTGGCAGTCTTCATAGGATTGGGGCTGCATGTGCCGCAATCTGGGTACTGTGATTGAAGTTATATTTAGGACATGATAGTTTTTGTGGTATGTTTGTGGGTTTAGTTCTTTTAGGTTGCAATAGCAAGCAGAAGAGTCTCTTGAAACGTAGATTTTATGGTAGAATGTGTCTCATATTGTGCCAAAAATAAGTTTTGAATCCTGAAAGACTCCNTGATAGCAAAAATAGAAAATAAGAAAGGAAAAGCAAATAAAGAAGAATGTACTCCATCGGGGGTTGCCTACATAGCTGCTCCAGACTCGCAGCTCTTTTGAATTGATTTATCTTTTTCCGCAGAGTCAAGACCAACACAATATTATCTAAACTCTCAAATGCTAATTTTTGAAAGAAGATTCATTTAGATGCCACATTTAATTTCTTAAGAAGCAGTTTTAGTATGGTTGACTAAGAATATGGTAATAATTAATATATTATGTTGCATAGATCTGTTGGCAGACATTCTGTTCCGACTTTGGTGATACGGAAAAGGTCCTGTTGATTAGAAGAGACATCGAAAGATACAAACGACTATCTATGGTTAATGTGATGAGGAACAATATGGAATTGGACGAAGCTTGGTAGTTTTATTAGGTATATTTTCAGTATTGTTGTTGGATTATTTAGTTAGGAAATAATTATTTGACTGGGAGTGTTTTAGTACTTCTAGCGGTGAGAGACTGTGAGAGTTTTATCAGCAAGGTAATTTAAGTTTCACTAGGTAATATATATTGATGTAGCCCTATTTTTCATGAAGAGGGTGATTCTAAGAAGGATTTTGGTTGATTATTTGTGCGTTTCTTGACCTAATCTTTGCGAGAGCGATGTGTATGCCTTCTTCTCTATTCTTTTTATATATTCAGTTTATATTCTGCTTCTTGTTCTACACCACATGTTCAATGGAAAAGCAGTCTGTCAAATATTACGTGTATTAGCGTAGTCTTATGTTCCTGTATTATGATTAATCTGGATTTATGTTCTGATTAAAAGAATGTGCACCTTAAGTTACCATCCATTATTGCCATTAAAAGGCCCTGTTTTAATTGGTAGGTAAAAAGAAGGGGGTTCTCATGCCTAGTTTGACAAATGTAACAGCGGCTAGAATCTCTATGTGGTTGGTGAGCTGGTGGCTATGAAACTGCTTTCTTAAGGCTTTTCTTTCCGTCACCTTTTATGAATGTTGGCAGTCTTCATAGGATTGGGGCTGCATGTGCCGCAATCTGGGTACTGTGATTGAAGTTATATTTAGGACATGATAGTTTTTGTGGTATGTTTGTGGGTTTAGTTCTTTTAGGTTGCAATAGCAAGCAGAAGAGTCTCTTGAAACGTAGATTTTATGGTAGAATGTGTCTCATATTGTGCCAAAAATAAGTTTTGAATCCTGAAAGACTCCTTTATGTTTTTTTGTCTGTGGGTGTCTGTTTGACTGCAAGCTTCTGATTTTTTTTAAAAGCTTCCACGTTAATGGGCACTGGTTAGCCAGGATACCTGTGTGTGTGCATATGAGTATTTTTTTTAATCCCTTTACTGGGGCATACTTTGCCTTACAGAGCCTTCTGCAATCCTGCTGATGTTGAAACATTTACGGAGGAGATAAAAGAATCTCTTTTGACCAAACGTCATGGAAAAGGTGCTGATTTTGTTCGTGCAGTACGTGAGATTGTTGACAGGTGTGAGAAGAAGAAAAAACAAGAACAAGTTAGCAATGATAATTCAAGTGATGTAATCTCTGTGCCAAATGCAAGTAAGTCAGCAGAATCATTGATGGATTCTAGGTTGAAGGATGAAGCTTCTGCAGTGATGGTGAACTCTTGTCCCAAAATTCCATACTCTACTAGAGCTAAAAATAATCCTAGTTCAACTGAAAGTGCTGCTGCTACAAGACGAAAGGCTGCTCTGCGTGATGCGGAGATGCCTTCAGAGGATCCTACCGGTAATTTTGGGGCTACAGAAACACCTCTGCCAACAACTTATTCATTGTCAAGAAAACTTGAATTTTTGCAACCGAAGAGCATTGTCACACAGAAAAGGGCACCATCTGCTAGAAGGTCCAGAAGTTCAGCAGAGGTGGACCCATCTAGATCCCAGAACTCTTTGTTGCCATCTAGCCATGGTGGTAGTTGTGCTGGGGATACAGCTGCAACTGTATTGCGGGATGGATATGTGAGAAAGAACAAACTCATCAGGAAACCTTCAAATGTGGCTGAAGGGCATGATTCAGAGTCAGCTGCTTTTGTTTCAAATGGTAGCATCGAAGAGAATGGTTCTGAAATTGCATCAGTTGACTCTGACACTCTTAGTTTCAATGAAGGCAGCACATTGGAGTCTGCTTGTGAACTTCTGCAACCTGAGTATGTTGTTGAATGTCGTGAGGGAGATGTTGAGTTTAACCAAAGTCTTGACTTCGCTGTTGTGGTTAAGAAGAAAAGAAAGCCAAATAGAAAACGAGCAAGTAATGACACCAGTGAGCTTAATGCTAGACTAGATAGGGAAGCAGCTATAGAGAATAAGGTGTATAAAACTGAACAAATTTCGCCACGTGATCTTGATGAATTGAATTCTAGGCATTCCAAGGAGGAAGGTGATGAACACCTGCCATTAGTTAAACGAGCCAGGGTTCGCATGGGTAGACCATCATCTGCAGGAGAGGAATTGGATACCTTAGTACGAGCAGAGGAGAAATCTTCGGAAGTTCCAAATTGCATTTCAGACCAGGGATGCACGCCCTTGATTTGTGAGGAAGATAGCCCTGTTAAAAATTCATCTTCTGTGAAGAGAGATGCAGTTGGTTCATCACCATCAAACAAAGGTCCTGTTAATAAGCCTCAAGCCTGGGAATTGAAGAAACATCAACTGTTTAGTTGTTCAGTGGATGGTGAAGCTGCTTTACCTCCATCTAAACGCCTTCATCGTGCCCTAGAAGCAATGTCAGCTAATGCTGCTGAAGATCTTCAAACATCATCTGAAGCACCAACGACCATGAAGACAATTAATAATGGGTGTAGTTTCTCTTCCTTGGGGGACTGCACTAATATATCCATGGAAGGCAAAGCAGAGACTGAATTTGGCTCCAGTGCTTCTCAGGATGCCAGTGGCACCATGAGATGTCAGTGGAATGATCGGGCAGATACAGACTCAAAATCTTTTACAGAAGTGGCAGCTTGCACCACACCCTTCAGTGGTAATAATGGTTCAAAGCATGTGTCTGTGGACTCTGCTGAGGGTAAAGATCTTAGTGTGTCATCTTTAGGTACTCGCACTGCTGAAATTGTTGTGGTCCAAAGTCCAAAAGTGTTGTCACCTATTCTTGGTGGAAAACAGGCTTGTCTTGAATGCGATCACGGTTCAGTGCTTTCAAATGATGACTGCAAAACTCAAAATTCTGAGTTGAGCAAGCCTTGTAAAGAATTTGATCCTCTAGAACTTTCCAGGAAGAGTTCAAATCCTGTTGCAGGAGACGTCAGAATCCTGATTGCCTCACCACCGAATGATACCAATCTGCTTCTGCATACTGCAGAGGGTGAATGTTGTGAAACTACCAAGTTGTGGAATCCTCCATCGGATAAGAACATCCAAGATAATGAAAAGTAAGCTCATTTGCATACTTTATTATACCATCTCTGACATGGGAGTCCATAGATTTAGTGTCTGATGTCATTTATTGGAACCTTGAAATCCATGTTTCGTTTGTGCTTATTTTTGTTATGGCAAATTTCTTCAAAATTTTAACTTCTACAGCCTTCATGCATCTTTATCTTAGGTCCAAGGTTTTGAAAGGAACAGAACCCATACTGAAGGATTCAAGTAACATTCCATCCCCAACTCCAGTGAAGGTTATGATGTCTGCTGTCCAGGGTCCGCATTTATCTCATTCTACGATTTTTTCTGAAGATCATTTGGGTGACAAGGCTGTCTCATGTATTCAGCCATCTTCAACTCCACGCGATGGATTAAACTCTGTTGCAATGGTATCTCCACGAAATACCTTGATTTACAACAGGTCTACGCCAGATAATAGCAATTCTCTTGAAAATAATGGATGTTATAGTCCTGAGGTTCCTTTGCACCATGAGAAACTAAGTCCTGCTGGCAAGTGGAGCAATAGGGCAGAAGGAAATTCTGCTCTGGCATCCTTTGAGGCGATTCTTGGAACATTAACAAGGACAAAGGAAATCATTGGTCGAGCAACGCGTATTGCCATTGACTGTGCAAAATTTGGTAGTGCTGCCAAGGTAAGTTTTCATCCTTCTTGTCTTAAAGAGAATTAGCCGTATTGGTTTACCTGGTTCAGTGTTTCTTGATGTTCCTTTTTTTGTTAGTGATGGGATGAAGGATTCATGAAATATAGAGTGGTTTGTAGGGTGCTTTAATTGTGCCATGAAATGTAAAAAGGGGCTGAAACAGTCTAATTCCAGTTGGTGGCATTTAGCAATCTAGAAAAGTTGGGGATTTTGGTTGAGTTAGTGGGTATATGAATGGCTTTCAAGCCTATTTGACCTGTTGAACTGAGCAGACGATATTAGAATATTAAAAGAAAAAAAAACATTTGAAAAGAACACATGATCAAAAGAAAAGGGTTAGAAAAAAGGGTGTTATAAACCCAAGCCATAACTTTTTGAATTTTTATCCTAACTTGTTCTATAATTTTGATGGTTATGGTGTTTCTGTCTTGTTTAAAGTTTTTTCTTTAGGATTCTTACTTTCCACTTCTGCTTCTGCCAGTTTGCTTCTGCATGAGAAGAGGACCTACAGTTTATAAGTAGAAATTGAGTTTATGGTTCAGGTTAGATACAATTGGGGTTAAAGACCTGGATTAGGGCCAAAATGTCTGCCTGGGACAAGGTTTATATGCTCACGTTAATTTCAAACCCTTGTCTCATCGTCCTTCTAAATTGCTTGCCCGAAAAGTATGAGATGTTTCAATGATTTTTTTGTTAAATGCGTGAAACATGCACGAACTTTTATGGTTGGTGTTTATTCATGCCTTTTTGTTTGTGTTTGAAATTCTGTTGCAACAAAGAATTACATATGTATGTGGTTTTTTGTTGATGCCTGAAAATCTTTCTATTTAGGTGGTGGAAATTCTTGTGCGACGATTGGAACGTGAATCAAGCCTACACAGAAGGGTGGACTTATTTTTTCTTGTAGATTCTATTGCCCAGTGCTCTCGGAGCTTGAAAGGTAACTTATGTGATATGCAACTGTGTTCTACGTGCTTGAATATTGTTTATACTTTATATGGCACTGTGGTATTGTTGCACCAGACAATACTAACGAAAACATGTGGATTTGGTGATGGTGAAACATAATTTGATTTTCAGGTGATGTTAGTTGCATATATCCTTCAGCAATCCAGGCAGTGCTGCCTCGTATATTGTTAGCTGCAGCTCCTCCTGGAAGTAGCAGTCAAGAAAACCATAGGCAGTGTTTGAAGGCAAGTGAAGCAATTTTTTTCGTCATTTGATTTTTCGCCTTTCTCTTTGTTTGTTAGTCAGTTTATGTGTACAAGGGCTATGTGTACAAGGGCACATTCACATAATTATTTACACTTTCCCATTCTGCTGGACAGGTCTTGAGGGTTTGGCAGGAGAGGAGGATTCTTCCAGAATTCATTATTCGCCGCCATATTCGAGAGCTTGATTCTGTCTGTTCTTCATCTTCCACTGATGCCTTCTGTCGCCGTCCTTTAAGGACAGAAAGGGCTTTTGATGATCCCATTAGAGAAATGGAGGGTATGCTGGTCGATGAATATGGAAGGTTTGTATTTTGCATTTGCCTTTCTGTAGTAAACCTTTAATTCCACAGAAACAAGATATGGAAAATATCAATTTTTGCTTTGACTTTTACAGAAAACTAAATATTTTTGGATTATGGAATATTGAGTCTCTCTTATTGCTTCAGCAATTCAAGTTTTCAGCTTCCCGGTTTCCATATGCCTACTATGCTGAAGGATGATGATGAAGGAAGGGATTCTGATGGAGAGGGGTTTGAGGCCGTTACTCCTGAACATAATTCTGAAATCCCTGAAGAACTAGAAAGTATCCCCATGCCTGCAGTTGAAAAGCATAGACATATTCTGGAAGACGTTGATGGTGAGCTTGAAATGGAGGACGTGGCTCCCACTTTTGAAGGTGGGATGAGATCCATCAGTGATGTTACTGGAGTGAATACTGCACAGATAGGCCATCCTACATTCGAACAACATTTCCCACCGCCCTTTCCCCCTCCCCTACTGAAGAATGTTCCACCACCATTTTGTCCTCCTCTTCCAACATCCCCTCCACCTCCGCCTCCGCCTCTGCCTCCAACCCCTTCCGTCCCTCTGCCCTTGGCAATTCTTGATTCCGTTCGTAATGGTCTTGATTCAAAGCTCTGCATGAATGGACAGGTGTGTTGTCATGATCACTTTTTATTGTTTTCTTTCTTGTTAGGTAAATCGGTGGTATGTGGATTTTGACAGAGTAGTTTGCTAATTCAATATTTTCCGTTTTGATTTGTATGCATTTGCAGAACATCAACCATGAATTCCAAGAATCTATTGCACAACAGTCTTTTGCAACAAGGATTTACTCAACCATCTCAGATGGAGTTCAATATCGTGCTCCTGAGGGTAGAGATCGTCAGTTGCATATCCAGAGACAGATACCTGACTCTGTGGACTCATGCTCTTTCAGCTGTGCACGTGTTCCTCATCCCCAAATTCAAGTGGGAAATGGTTTTCAGCAGTCAGATGGAGCTGCTTTAGACAACAATGCTTTTCATCTACGGCCACCTCATCCTGCTCCGTCAAATCAGTTCTCTTATTTTCAAACAGATCAGCAAAGGCCATTGCAAAGGGAGATCCCTCTCCCATCCTATCCTAACAGATTCCATTCTGTGCAGAATACAGAGGGTAGAAATTTTTACAGTGATCATGACAGAATGAAATTGGCTCCACATGACATTGGTAAGAGCTGGAGCTTTTCAGCACCTTCCACCTCTGGTACACTTGAAGAATTTGCACTGGAAGATTTTAAGTCCGATGCATGTCATGTTTTCCTTTGGTTTTTCTGCTTACGAGTGTTTTTACTTGTCTTAGGTCCATGCCATCCTGACAGTGCCAGAATGCCATATGTGTCACATCCATATGGTGGGCCACCTTGTCAACCAGCAATGGCAAACCACAGGTGGGTTTTTCCTCCTCAGGCTTTGAACCATAGAGTACTGATACCTCATAGACGACCCTCTGAAGCTCCAATTCCAGTAGCTACTAGAGGTCTGTGTTCTGTTCTCTTGATCTTTCCATTCCATTCGGAGCACTTTTCCTATTGTGTGACCGGTTTAGTTCACTCTTGTTTAGCTCTATTCTAAGATTGTTAAATCATCTGGACTATCTTTTTTCTGTGGTAGCTCCTGACTTCTGGCGACCAAGATGAGCCATCGCCAGGACCTACAGGTACTGTTATTGTTCTCATATTTTCTGGTTGCAATTGTGCTATTTTTGAACACTCCCCCCCCCCCCCCCCCCCCCC